GTAACAAATCGGTGTAGTTAAGGCACTTTTAAAATATTATAAAGCTGTATGATATTTTGTTGACTACGACATATTTCCGTTAATTGGTCTAGTCTGTGAATTATGAAAAGACGAAAAAAATTTAAATGATAAATTTTGCAGTATCATAAAATAAAAATGTTTGTAGCGAAAATCCAGACCATGGAATATTTAAAAAAAAAAATCATCTTAAAAACACAATCGCTCGTCCAAATTTAAATAAGATTTTATATTAATACGTTTTTTAGGTGAAATGATCATTATAGTTTAACAATATAATTTGTTCTGATCGTTTTTTGGCAATTTTTTATAATTATAAGCTCTTTCTTGGACAAATTCTTGTATTTTTTGTGAAAATAGATAAAAATATTGAGTTTTGACAACTATATATAGTTAATATAAGTCAGAACCGATTAAAACTAGGATCAGTAGTAAATTAAGAAACTTTTTAAAAAGGTTTTAACTAAATTCATGTTAATGCCGATGAGCGGAATTGATCTAAAGACTCCAAAATAGTGTTCTTTAGATACATTATTACAGGTAGTAAAAAGATTTTGAAAATTATATATAAAAAAGAAAAGTTTCTTTAAATATCATAAAAACCTTAAGTAAATAAAATTATAACATTTAAAGATCTTGTTTGGGCATAATATGCTGACAAAACCATGCTAATTTCAAATAAAAGTATTCAAATATTTTGTAAATCGCCTTAACTACACCGAGAAGGATTCCTAACAAGTGAACTTGATATTGAACATAAGTTGCACATTCTAAAACCTAGTGCAACGCTATCCGCTGTGTTTATACCATCCTTTTAAGTCAATTTTTTTTTGACTTTCTCTCGAGTATCCTTTGTTCTTCTAAAAATCATTTATTCTTGGTCTGCGAAGCAAGACCAAGAATAAGTGATTGTTAATGAGCTGAACTTGTCTTCGTGCTCTTTAGTGACCTGAACTTGTCTTCGTGGGCCTTGGTATGTGGCCTTCTTTATGGAGATTAGCCGGAGGAGAATAAACCACATGGAGTATAAACGCCTGTAAAAAAGGTATATATTAAATAAAATTGTATGTTAGATGTATTTTTATATTTTCCTTTTTTGTAATGCAGACCTTTTAAAAAAGCTCTCTTAATTATTATTCTTGTCATTTAATCTATATTTAAGTTAATTAAAATTGTTAATTAAAAGTTATCAGTAGAATAGAGATTTGAATGCTAGTTATTGTTCAAATATTATTTAAGTGTTTATTTGTATTTATGTTTAATTTATATTAAATTTAATTTTGATTGTAACTTTTAAAAGAAGATCATACTATCAAAAGTTTTCTTTAGATTAATGCTTCGGTTCCGGTTTCAACCCAATCTTAAATTTCAAATGTACCAACATCTGTATCTTCCAGTGCTATGCATGACAATCGGGTAGATGTTTTCAAAGTTCCCTGGGAAAGGCTGCCAGCTGAAATCATGAATTTAATCCACAAAAGTGCTCCTCTTTTGCTAAAACACATAAATACAATGATCAGGATCATATGTGATGATACACTTTCATATTTATTTTTAAAAAATCTATAAAAATCCTAAGATTTTCATTTACCTGCAACGTATCCTCTAACTTTATCTACTTCTACCCTACCCTTTTCTTCTAAATCACTGCAACCTAATCATCTGCAACTGTAGGCTCTGCATACTTACTCTACATACAAACTTTTAATATTTTCAACATTACTTTCTTTTCTTTTTTTTTCAATTTAAATAATGATTTATTAATCTAATCTAATTATTATGTAGATGTATTGCAAAAATGAATCCTGAAAAAGAAGTTAAATCGAGAAAAGAACTGGTAAAAAAAAGTAAATCGGACCTCACCGAAAGGTTTTGATTTTTGTAAACGAACTAACGCTGTTTAAATAAGAAAGAGCAAAAAGAACTTTTGCTTGTATTTATTATAACTATTATAATATATATATAATAACTAACAGTTGGGCTGAAAAGTTCGTATCGTTTCTAAGAAATGGCGCCACTAGAATTAAATTCATACTATTTTTAGTTAGTACCAACCTTGAAAAGATACGTGTAAAAATTTGACAGCTGTCAGATTATTAGTTTGTGATATATTGTTCTAGTAGTGACGCTACTTTTGTTATTGTGAAAAAAATGGAAAAAAAAGAATTTCGTGTGTTGATGAAACATTACTTTTTAATGAAAAAAAGTGCTGCCGATACCAAAAAATGGCTTGATGAGAGTTATCCAGACTCTGCACCAGGCGAAGCAACAATTCGTAAGTGGTTTGCAAAATTCCGTACTGGTCATATGTGCACCGAAGACGATGAACGCAGTGGACGCCCAAAAGACGCTGTTACCGATGAAAATGTGAAAAAAATCCACAAAATAATTTTGAATGATCGTAAAGTGAAGTTGTTGGAGATAGCTGACACCTTAAAGATATCAAAGGAACGCGTTGGACATATTATTCATGAATATTTGGATATGAGAAAGCTCTGTGCAAAATGGGTGCCGCGTGAACTCACTATCGATCAAAAGCAACAACGAATTGATGATTCTGAGCAGTGTTTGGAGCTATTACATCAAAATAGAACCGATTTTTTTTGTCGATACATAACAATGGATGAAACATGACTCCATCACCACACTCCGGAGTCCAATCGACAGTCAGCTGAGTGGACTGCACGCGATGAACCGACTCCAAAGCGTGGAAAGACTCAACAATCGGCTGGGAAGGTTATGACCTCTGTTTTTTGGGATACGCATGGTATAATTTTCATCGATTACCTTGAGAAGGGAAAAACCATCAATAGTGACTATTACATTGCGTTATTGGAGCGTTTGACGGATGAAATTGCAAAAAAACGACCTCATTTAAAGAAGAAAAAAGTTCTGTTTCATCAAGACAACGCACCGTGTCAAAAGTCAATGAATACGATGCTTAAATTGAACGAATTGGGCTTCGAATTGCTTCCTCATCCACCGTATTCTCCAGATTTAGCCACCAGTGACTTTTTCTTGTTCTCAGATCTCAAGAGAATGCTCGCTGGTAAAAAATTTAAGAGCAATGAAGAGGTGATTGCTGAAACTGAAGCCTATTTTGAAGCAAAGGACAAATCGTACTACAAAAATGGTATCGAAAAGTTGGAAGATTGCTATAATCGCTGTATCGCCTCTAATGGAAACTATGTTGAATAATAAAACCGAATTTTGAAAAAAAAATGTGTTTTTCTATTAAACGATACGAACTTTTCAGCCCAACTGTTATTTTAATATAATTTGTCATAATATAATATTACTTGTCATTGTATATTTTATATAAAATATAAAATATAATATACATAATAATTAGTTTAATATAATTTGTTTATATTTATTATAACTATTATTATTATAATAGCTATTTCATCAACATATGAAGAGTTCATAAGAAAAACGCGTTCATGAGGAGTCCATCGGAAAAAAGAGCTAAATCTTTGAGTTTTAGAAAACGAGTAAAAACTGAGTTACTCATAGTTGTACATCAACAGAAAACTGAGTTACTCATAGTTGAACATCAATAGAAATTGATATATATTTTTTTCAATTAAAAAATATATATCAATTTAAGTTTTTCAAAAAAATATTAGACAACTTAAGTTTTTTTCAAAAAAAAAAAAACTTAAGTTGTCTAATATTTAAATTGATAATAGATTTCAATATATAAATTGTGGAAATAGAATCAACACAAAAAATTTATTTTTGTGACAGCGCGTTTTGCATATAGGGGAAACTGGGGTAAAATGGGGTAGTGGGGCAAAATGGAGTTTTGAAAATACACCCCATTCAGAGCCTCAGAGCATTGAAAAAAATATTGGATTTGAAATATGCGAGAAGAGATATCTTTTTAAATTTTATATTCCATCTTTTACTTTTGTTCATGTTTTCTTCAAGTATCGTCGTTGAGAGGTAAATACAATTTTGTCAACTTTTTTATCTTATCTTTTAACATTATATTTTAAGAAGCAGCTTCTTTGTAATTAAAGCTTTGAATTAAATATATTATTGTTCCTGAATAATATTATATATTAAGCAATTAAGACTCTTATATATTCATGAGCTTTGCTCTGCTTTGTTTTTTCGAACAGTTTTATTATGCCTCCTATGATGGGATAAAATGGGGTGTCTCAAAGGGGCAAAATGGGGTATTTCCCCATTTTGCCCCGGTAGTGTTATTTATCTAAATTATAGAAATGAGATGTGGTTTATATTTAAACATGATTCTATTTTTTTAAATTACTAATAGACTCAAAAGGCCTGCTATAGTTTTATTCAATAGGCCTAGGTTCTTTTAATAAATAATACTAATACTTAATACTAGTCTATTTTTAAAATATAATTTTATTGTTGTTAAAGTTCAGTTAAAGTATTATTATAGCCTATACTATAGAACTATAAATATAAAATAAGAAAGTCTTGTTTGAGTTAAGTCATCTATGTTGGAAATCTCGTCTAAAGAGCAATTAATGGGTTATTTTGCAATAGAACTTCATACGCACGGGCTTAGAAGAACGTAACGAACTTATAAACGTAAAAAACCAGTTTTTAAACAAGTTTTCAAAACCATTTGGGAATTGCGCATCTGCGCAATTCTCACGTTATATGTGTAGCTATTTTGTAGATTTAGTTAGTGATTCGCAGTCAGTGGAGTATAACGTTATAAACGAAATATATATATCTTAAACAAATAGTGATTCATTTAGTGTCTCAGGGAAACATAAAATAAATTCCCCACATCTAAGTCTAAGTAGTCTAGCTAAGTAAAAAAATAATTCTGAAATTTTATTATAATAATAGTAGGCCTATTTGTTTAGTTCTTACTGAATCGTACTTAAATTGCTGATATTAAAGTTGTTTTATTTTATTTTTTCAGATTATTAACTTTGAAAAAATTGAGAAATTACAAAAGAATATCTGAACGCCAAACTTGGAATGAAACCGAAATGCAGCAGGCCGTACTGTCTGTGATCAATGGTGATCATGGGTATAAAAAGGCAGCTGCAATGTATGGTGTGCCACAGACAACCCTCGAACGCAGAGTGGCTAAATTTAAGAAAAATCCTAATATTGAGGATGCTTGCAAAAAGAGTAAGTAAATGGATTAAGCACAATCTAAATTTAGGAATTTTTCACATTTTTAAATATTAAATTAAATGCCAGAAAATAGGCTATGGTATATGTTCTAAATAAATGAATTTGTATGAAAAGCATCTTTATTTAGTTAATTCTAGTTCTAATTTTTAATTTTAATTTCTTTTTCAGCGCTAGACGCATTCAAAACTATCTTTACATGGGAAAAGGAGGCAGAACTTGTTCAGTATGTTCGGCAGATGGAAAAAATGCTTTTTGGCCTAACCTTCTATGAGCTGAGAAAACTTGCCTTTGAACTGGCTGAAAAAAATAAAAAGGCTCATAAATTTAATAAAGAGGAGGGGGTGGCCGGTTACGACTGGTATCAGGGTTTTATGTTGTGACATGCCAAACATTTGTCACTGAGAAAGCCTGAAGCGACATCTGCAGCCAGAGCAATGGGCTTTAATAAACTAGCCGTTAATAAATTTTTCGAGCTTGTTGAGAATGTCATTGACATAAATAAAATTGATGTCGAAAGAGTATGAAACGTCGATGAAACAGGCATTTCTACCGTCCCTAAGTTGCTGTCAAAAGTTATTTCCACAAAAGGAAAAAGGCAAGTTGGGTCTCTTACATCTGCAGAAAGGGGTCAACTTGTTACAGCAGTAGTTTGCTGTTCAGCAAGTGGCAGATACATGCCACCTATGTTAATCTTTCCCCGTCAGCGCATGAAGGTAGAGTTGATGGATAGAGCACCTCCTGGTGCTTGGGCAGAATGCCACCCAAGTGGATGGATCCAGACTGATTTATTTATAAATTGGTTAAAGAAATTTATATTACACACAGAAGCCACAAAAGATTCAACAGTTTTTTTAATATTAGATGGACATACGACACACACTAAAAGCATAGAGCTTATTGACACTGCCAGAGAGAATGGTATCATTCTCTTTTGTTTGCCTCCACACTGCACTCACAAAATGCAACCTCTTGACATTTCGTTTATGAAACCTCTGAGTAAATTTTATGACCATAATTTAAGGAAATGGTTAAGAACAAATCCTGGGCATGCAGTAACGCAATTTAAAATTGCATCACTGTTTGGTGCGTCATATCTTGATGTTGCTACCATGACTAATGCAATCAATGGATTTAAAAAAGCAGGTATTTGGCCAGTGGATAGGTCAGTATTTACTGATGCTGATTTTATAGCCGCGGAAGTAACAGACATGAGCATTATTACTGAGGATACTGAAAGTTTTGTTACCAAGGATTCAGCCCTTACCACTGTCTCTGCTCCTGCCACTAAACCTTCAGATAGCACATCAACCACTGAACCTTCCACTTCATGTACCGGTAGCACATTCGCCACTGAACCTTCAACTTCATGTAGGCCTAGCACATCAACCACTGTACCTTCAAGCTTTGCAATCTCGCCTCGTCATTTGCTGCCCATCCCAAAACAGGCCCAAAGAAAACGTATTTCTAAACAAAGAGGAAAAACAGCTATTTTGACTTCTTCGTCTTATAAAAGATCATTAATGGAAGCCAAAGAAAAAAAGAATCCAAAGAAAAACAAATCTGTCAAAAAATCAAATGAAGACACACCATGCCTCTATTGTGAGGATCTTTATTCTAGCAGCACAGAGAGTTGGGTCTCATGTACTGAGTGCCACAGATGGGCCCATTATTCTTGTGCTGGCATTGATGAAAGAAACAAAAAACCTTACTTTTTGTGTGAGCTATGTACTAGCAGTGATTGATTATATTTGTACTAGGAGTGATTGATTTATCATATTTGTTTGAGTTCCTCCTTTGACCCCATTTTGCCCCATCCTTTTTTTTTTTTATTTATTTTTTTTTTCTCTGTTTACATAACATAAGAATTTTACAGATTCTACTACATAATACAAAATTTAAAAAAATAAGTAAAACAGATAGGGACTCAAAAAAGATGAGGATGACAGAACGTCATCGCAATCTTTTCATAGAACCCCTTCAACAAAATTTAATTAAAATATCGTAATATGACATACAAAATAAAAATGTTAATAAAATATCATAACAAAATACGTAATCCGCTAATAAAAATTATCAAGCAACAAACGAAAGTAAAAACAAAGCAAAAACTTATTTAAGAGAATTTATCCAAAGCATTATTAACAAAAAATGTTTCACCGGTTTTAAAGATTTCTTTTTTTGTTAAAAACTTGAATGAACTTAACGAACTCACCGTACCTTTGAACTCTTTCTGAAAAATATTCCATACCTTTGGACCTCTATATAAAATGCTGTATTTTGAATATTTATTTATTATCCTTGGCAGTTTAGATGTGTTCAACATATTCGCTCTAAGATTATAGTTATCATTTTTATTTAACTCAAACTTATTATTAAAGCTTATAGGAGAGATATTGTGATTGTAACGATACATGAAAATTAAATGTTTGTAGATATTTATTTTAAATACATTCATCATTTTCATATCTTTCATCAAGGGATTAGCGTGTTCCCGCCTATTTTTAAAGTAAATGATTCTACAGGCATGTTTCTGAAAACTATAAAGTTTCTTAAGCTTTGCTGTTTGAGTACTTGCCCATGAAATGTTTGCATAGCTGATGAGGCTGTGAATTAGCCCAAAGTAGATTAATTTAAGACTATTTGTATCAATGTACGAGCGAACTCGATACATTAAACCTATGATTTTGGTAATTTTTGACTGGATATATATTATATGAGGAAGCCAGGATAATTTTTCATCAACAACGATTCCCAAGAATCTTATATTGGATTGCTTTTTAATTAATTTATCATTTATAAATAGGTTCGGCAACTTGAGAGGAAGATTTTCTTCTTGTGTTTTTTTATGAAAAAGTATATAGTTTGTTTTCTCGGTATTAAGTGAGAGTTTGTAAGCCTTAAACCAGTTATTTACTTTATTTAGTTCAATATTCATGTCCGCATATAATTTCTTGATATCGTTGTTGGTAAGAAATAAATTCGTGTCATCTGCAAACATGACTGAATTAAGTTTTAAGGATGCATTACAGAAGTCATTTATATATATTAAAAAAAGAAATGGACCAAGAATCGATCCTTGCGGAACTCCACATACGACATTTAACACTCCAGATTGGTCATTATTTACATATTGTTTTCTCTTTGTAAGATAGCTTTTAATCCAATAATAAGTTTTATTAACTATTCTGTAATGTCTTAATTTATCTAAGAGAATACAGTGGTCCATTGTATCAAATGCTTTTGATAAATCAAGAAATACTCCTAAAGTAAATTTATTATTTTCAAAACCATTAGTTATTTGATTTACTATTTCAATGATTGCATGCTCAATAGGGAGATTTTTTTGAAAACCAAACTGATTTGGGTAAAAAAAATTGTTTTTATTGAAGTAATCATAGATTCTATTATAAACTACACGTTCGAATATTTTTGAAAATACAGAAAGTACTGATATAGGCCTGTAGTTTGTAATGTCAGAATGATCATTACATTTGTACATTGGAGTTACTTTTGCTAATTTAAGTACATCCGGAAATATCCCAGAATTTAACGAAAGCTTTAGTATATGTATTAGAGGTCTTTTAAGACTGTGTTTGTTTGCAATAACTATATTACTAGATATTTCATCAAATTCCGGAGCCTTTTTTTTTAACGAGGAAAAAGCTGCCTCAAATTCCTAGGTTAATTCATAATCAAGCATGATAACATTATTCGTTGGTTTAAGGAAGGTTTTAAATGATACAGATGTTGGTACTATTTTTTTTACAAGATTTGGACCAATACTTGTAAAATATTTATTAAATTCTTCCAAAATTTGTTTTTGGCTAAATATATCGTTGTTTTCAATAACAAAAAGTACTCCAAAAATGTACTTAAAAAAGCATTGTAAGCTCCATTTGTATCTTGACATTTATATACGTTGTTCCATGTTTCTTGTTTTAGTCTATTTGTTAATTTATTAGTGTTACTCATTTTTAAATTTCGTTTTTTCAAATGTATGATTTTTGAATGACAATCAGTCATAGCTTTTAGATTTTTTGCTTTTATGAATACCGGGAAATGATCACTATCCATTACCTTGTTTTGCCCGTGTTTGGGGTAAAATGGGGTTTTTATGTTGTTTTAAAAAAAATGTAATAAATCAATTAATTTACATTCTTTTGACTTGCTGTTTTGTTACAATGTTGTCTATGTTGTATTCTGATGTTTCAACATTTATTTGTAATCATTTTATTTATTTTTGTGACTTTTAAAGGGTTTCATTCTTAAGTACCCCATTTTACCCCAGTTTCCCCTAGTCTATATGATTAAAATAGATTTTCTTTTAATATTTTGTGTGTAGCTAAACTACTCAAAACTACAGAGTTTTTTTATGTGTTCGATGTTTATTGTATTATAATTTTTATTCATGTCACGAGTAGTTTCTTAATAGTTCAATTACATTTTTATAATAACGTATAAATTCTATTTATTTGTTTTTGACTTTCGAGTAAACTCTGTAAGATGAGTTGAGTAACTGCCTATTTGCTGAATTAACCGAGTTTTTCCGTTAATTTGAACGAAAAAACATAAATACGGAAATCGTAAATTTTATGGAGAAAATGAAAAATCTCTTTGCTGCCTGTCAATTTTTACGGAAAATAGAAACTACGGAAACCGTTAATTTTTTCGGAGAAAGTGTTTAAAAAGAAACTGAAATATGAAATAAACTTCAATATAAAAGAAACCTAAATATAAAATATAAAAAATATAAACATAGCTTGGTTCAAAAGCTACTTATCTAATAGTAAACAATACATTTCATTCGGCAATGAAAAAAACTAAAATTATGGCAATCGGATTACTCTATAAAGCAAAACCATACTTAGATCAATCATGTTTAAAATACATATATTACTTATTTATTCATTCCTATCTTAATTATGCAAACATTGCTTGCTGCAGCACCAATAAAACAAAGACAAAAAAGCTAATTAGCAAACAAAAATATGCAATTATTTATTATCAAATGCACACTACCTCTCATATTCGAGACTATTGTTCAACAATTTAGAAATATTAAATTTGTACCTAATAAATATATATCATCTGCTAATTTTTATGTATAACACTAATAATAATACAATACCAAATATATTCAAACCATTATTTAATAAAATTCAGCACAAATACATGACTAAATATTTAAGTAACAACTTTGTTTAACTCAAAACTATATATGAGTCCACCAATTTCTAAATAACTATTAGAAGACCGTCACGGTTACATATATGTATGTATATATATACATACGTGTGTATGTATATATATGCGTATGTGTGTATGTTTTAGTTTCAGAAGCGACATATTGCCTCCAGATATTACGTTTATGAAAAACCGTTTCTTTAACTTCAGGTGTAATCCAAGGTACTTTTTTTGCTTTGAATAGAACAGAAGTCTTTGGACACTGCGTTTGCACACAGCTTCCATATACAAGTAGTTGGTAGTTGAAGTTTGCAGAATGATTAGTTTCTGTCCCAATCGTAATTCATGATATATTCTGATATTTTTTGATAGTTTGCTTCGCTCCAAATATAACATGATTGAAAAGTAGCTGTACTTCACAGTTCATAATTTTGAAATACCAGTGATTAGGAAGTGAGCTTTACCCTTAGGTGTGTTTCCTATTGGATTATCTTTTTCGAGGTCTCTATCTCGGTTTGGTTTATCGGTAATGACAAAGTCAAGAATATTACCCGGTGCATTGTTTCTTGAGTTACAATAAGTTGGAAATGTTATCATATAAGTAAAAATATGCACACCGTTGATATGCGCTACAACTAGTGCACTGTCATCAACTACAAGTTCTTCATATGTTGTGTGGCTAAAGTTAAAGTCACCGTATACGTCCATCTTACGTACAAAAGACGTTCCAATTTAGTTCAGATTGGAAATACTGATGTACGTCCAAAATTGAACGAACAATGTACGTCCAAAATAGAATTAAATTTATAAAATGACCGGAAAAAATGTTACGCAACTGTCACCTATGTAAAAAATTTTGAAGTTATTAAGTATAGAGATGGTCGATATGAATTAACCCGTATTTTACGGGTCTGGACCGCTGATTAAGTATTAATATTTTATTTAATACTGTCGTTATCGATTCGTGCGCGTTTGATATGGAACTCACGGCAGCTAGCTATAGCCGGGATAATGGCGAGAAAAGTTAGCACTTTTTTAAATTAGAAAATGTGGCTATATGTAACTAATATTAATTAAAAATAGCTAAAGTTTATAGTTTATTTAAAGATTTTCAGTTTTATTTTACAAGTATTTTATAACTAAGTTGAGAAGGTGTTACATTCAAACTTTTTTTTTTTTGGGAGATTTTTCTAATAAGCTCTAAGCACGCAAAAAAGAATTTTTTTGTTTTCTCCCTAAAAAGAGATATTCGGTGTGGAACAGACTTACCATGACTCGTGTTCTACAGGTCCAGATAGCTAGTATACTTTAATTGTACTATATATAATAATGAACAGATTCAGAGATGTTTTGGAGATTTATTAAGGTGCATATATAGGTTTAGGCATTACTGATGGCTCATAAAATAATATACGAATTATAATATTATTTTGACTCTTTTGTCAATTTCTTTATTTGCTTATTTAATTTAGAATATTTCTTGCGGGGAAGTGGGAAAAGAGTCGTAAATAGAAAAAAATTTAATATAATGCAATTTTAATAAATTATTTTATTTTGAATTCAAAATTGTAATTTTCAATAATGTTCTCTTTAAAAACATACTTTTTAAGACCTGCCTTCTCCTTATAAAGAAGTTAAGATCAACGCGTAGGAGCTTTAAAACTTCAGCTTTGAAATGCATAACAAACCAGTTCTATGGTTATAGAAATATTATATTTACATATATTTTATCCATTTCTTTACACAAACTTAACTTATTCGTAATAAAATTGAGAAGAAAAACTTCTAACTTTAAAAATATTTGTAATATTTACATAACATTTTGTTTACATTAGTTATATATAGCTACATTTTCTAATAGAAAAAATAGCTAAAAGACTTTTTCTCGCTATTAACTCGGCTTTAATGGTTACCGTAAGTTCTGTGTCAAACATACACGAATTAGTAGCGGCAGCAGCTGTAAGTTGTTATTAAAATATTTTAGGACTATAGTATAAGTAACAACTTCAAAGGTTTTTATTTTTGAGTAAATTTCTTTACTTTAAAAAAAAAAGATAATTAACAAAAATAGTTTCAATAAAAAGAGATTTGTCTGATTTATTCGTATAACTCATCACTTTATTCTGATAAAGGAAAAGTCTAATCAATTTTGCTGTCTTTTTTTTTTCCTTTTTATTTTGTTATTTCTATTCTACATAATAGCATAAGTAATTTGCATATAGTTTGTGAAATATATAAATTATGAAATTAAATAAATTATACAAGGTTAGAAATGTATAGACTTTTCTCAGCTTCTTTTTAATTTATTTCAGTTGTCTATGTATATGTGTGTATGCGTGTGTATATGTGTGTGTGTTGGTGTAGTTGCATAGACGCACAAAACTGCATAAAGCATAATTTGAAACATTTTAGTTTTTGTATAATATTTAAAAAAGTTATATATATATTATATATATACATATATATATATATATATATATATATATATATATATATATATATATATATATATATATATATATATATACATATATATATATATATATATATATATATATATATATATATGTATATATATATATATATATATATATATATATATATATATATATATATATATATATATATAAATATATATATATATATATACATATATATATATATATATATATATATATATATATATATATATATATATATATATATATATATATATATATATATGTATATATATATATATATATATATATATATATATATATATAAATATATATATATATATATATATATATATATATATATATATATATATATATATATATATATATATATATATATATATATATGTATATATATATATATATATATATATATATATATATATATATATATATATATATATATATATATATAAATATATATATATATATACATATATATATATATATATATATATATATATATATATATATATATATATATATATATATATATATATATATATATATATATATATATATATATATATATATATATATATATATATATATATATATATATATATATATATATATATATATATCAGCGCCGTGCTGTAACTTTTGGGGGCCCTGTGCAGAAACTAAAAAAAATTTTTTTTTTCTTTCAATTCGTTGTAATTTATGGTATTGGAGAAGTTTTTCTAATGTATTTAATAGGGGGCCCAGTGCGATTGCACTTGTTACACTTGCGTTAGTACGGCGCTGATATATATAATATATGTATATTTACACTTAGAGAGAGAAGGATATATATTTTATATTCCTCTCTCTCTCACTGAGAGAGAGAAATAGTCTATTATTTATTACTTTTAATATAAAATGCTTAATCATAAAAACATTTATAAAAATAATTTTTATAAAATTATAAAGTTCAACTTGCTAAAAAAAGTGAATGCATAATAAACAATACTTAAGAGAAATAAACATTTTGAACAACATACATGATGATTTTGTTTTGGAGCATGAGTAGAATTAATAATAATTGAAACTCGCATAATAGATCATCTATTAGATGCAAAAAATAAAATAAAAAGGATTACTTTTATACAAAAGTTTGAAATATTATTTCTAGAAGATATTTTATCAATTTTCCAAGTTTTAACTGCTTGCAGAAAAACAGCAAAGCTTTTTAAATCACTGGAAAAACGGCAAAATATTTCGCAAGAAACCCAGTAAACTTCGAGCGAACTTTAAGATCACTGGAAGCTTTTCGTTGGATTTCCAGCGAACTTCCTGCAAAATCTTTTGTTTCCATGGAAATCCAGCGAACTTTGCTGAAAACCCAGTGACCTTAGTGAATTTCCAGTGATCTTTTAAATTTCCAGCGAACTTTTGCTGGAGGTTCGCTGGGTTTTTTGTAAGGGATCTTAAAACTATTGAGCTATTCCATTCTATATTATTTGTAACTTTTATACCACAGTTTTTGAGTGAACGTTAATTTTTTTTGCTGATTTTTCCTTTTTACAGTATTATTCCTTATTTTTACAGTATTTCTTCCTTTTTACAGTTTTTTTTTCAACTTTGAGAGCTAGAATCTATTTTTTTTGAAACTCAACATTTTTTGCTTTGTACGTAGTCGAGAAACTATAAGCAATCAATATTTTTTTAAATACTCTTTTATTAAAAAGAGAGCTCAATATAAATTTAAAAGTTTATGCTATTGTATAACTTTTACCATAATAAAAAATTTTTACTCACTCTGATTAGGCCAAACAGAAAAATTTAAGTGTCTTGAATATAAAAAACTTATAAATCTATTTTTATGATATTTAGCGAATCTAAATAAAAGCCTAGAATATCATAATGATTCATATGTATTAATTATGAAATGTACTTTAATCACATTGAGTATTATTTTGTTAACTACATTAACAAAATTTATATATACTGTATGATTTTTAGAAACAAAGCAGCTCTTTTTAAAAATTTATGCCTTATAAAAGACGTCAATAATTTTATTTGTTAAGCTTTATATTAAACTTAAAGTTAATTAGTTACTCAATTAGCCCGTTAATAACTAGGTTTTAGTACTACACATGTATTGACTGCTGATTCATATGTATAATTAACAGTTATCAATCTATTTTAATAAAGTTAAAAAAAAAAAATTTGGTCAAAGTGCGCCCCTTTTAATCCTGCACCCGGGTAAAAAGTTCCCAGTAACCCCTTCCTCGTGTCGTCTATGGGTAAGAGTTAAATAATCTACTGAGAAAACACGTGTTTTCTTTTTTTTTTATTATCATGTCTATTTTAACTATTCTTGCAAGCAATATCTTTTAAACAATCCGTCTATGACGGAAAGTTTTTCGAGAGAAGAAAATACAACAAATGTTTTAATCTTGTTTATACAATATATGCTTTGTGTACAAAGGAATTTAGGAACACATTTAAGTAAACTTAAATTGTCGTTTTTTAAATATATTCTTATGCAATAATTTTTGCCAACTAAACATATTAATGCATTTTTATAGGATTTTTTTTTAATTTAGACAGAATGAAGTATTTACTTTTTAGTCTTGCATTAGCTTATTTACACGAATTTTCAGAAGGTAAGTAAAATCTCATTGACTTAAATTGAGAGTTAAAAAAAGTTTTCCCCATATATAAAATAACAATAATAGTGCACATAAAAATATTTTTTAGAAAAAATTTTAAAATTTTATAAAACAATTTAAAGTTTTATAAATGATTTTAAAATTTCATAAATTTTTTTTTTGAATTAAATAGTATAAGTAATATTAGGTTGTGCTAAGTAATTTTCATTTGAGCAAAGCATAGTATACTTATACCAACTTAAAAAAATTATATTGTCTAAGTAGGTTATTAATGTTGTTGAGTATTGCTTGTAATATTCAAAGGTTTTTTTAATTCATGTTTTGTTCCATAAATTGATATTTTTCTTTAGCATAGAACAACATTTTACTGTTTAGAATGTATAGATATCTGATATTAAAGACTAATGTAAAAAATCCCTAATTTTTGTAAATGGGATCAACTCCATTTTTTCAAAAATATTTTTAAATATTTAATATTCAGTGTAATGTGCTGCTTACCCTGTTTTGTCAATTTAACTAATTTAACATTTACTCGAGTTATAAAAGCTTACAAATTGAATTATGCTACACGATTTTCTATCATCATTAAGTATAGATACTTGTGTGTTGAAGCTTTAAAAACCTTAATTAATAATTAATAAACGTGAAATACAGCTGGAGCTCTAATAAAAATCTTAATAAACGTGAAATACAGCTACGTGAAATACCCAGTAGACACCGGACCTAAAAAAACGTTTTTAGAACGTTTAAAAGCCGTTCAAAACGTTCAAAAGACGTTTAAAAGACGCTTTTTTTACTTTTTTTTTTTTTTTCCTGAATAATTTCTAATTTTCTGATATTTTTCTAAATTAATTTTTTTTTCTGATTTTTGTTTTCTGATTACTTCCAGTGTCACACTTCCAGTGTCACAAGGTAGAGCCACAATATAAACTTTAACAAACGTGAAACAGAGCTGTAGGTCTAAATTTTGCACAAAGTATCAATATTTAACTTTGATTCAATCTATATTTATCAAACGTTTTTGAGAAATGATATATCAGAACATTTCTTAATATTTGAAAAAAAAAAAGATTTTAGATTTAAAAGTACATTAAAATTAATAGTCTTTTTTTCATAAAGCAATAATTAAATAATTTATGCTTAAGGTGGTATCCAGCCAATATTTTGGTAAAAAATGAAAAAAAAGAATGAAAAATTTGAAAAAATGTTATTTAAACAATTGAACCTTGTAGAATTCAATTGTAAAAATAACTTTTCTAAAATAATTTTAGATTATCAATAATATTCTTTTCAAACATACGATTTATGTGAGTAGTCTACATGATTTATAATTTTAAAACTGATTTTTCTCAGTTTTTGTTTTTTTTATGAGTAGCTGTAGGAAAACAATGATATCTCAATAAAAAAACATTATTTTAGCTTCAAATTTTCAGGATATGCTCATAATTAATGTGTTAAGTGCCTGAATATAACATAAAAATTAAAAAACTTAACCTATAATTACCATATCAAATAAGTGTTTTATCGCTAAAAATAGCTTTTTATACTAAGTATATTTAAACGATCGAAAACGGCAGACTTAAGTTTATACTTAAGTCTGCCGTTTTCGATCGTTTAAAATTTAAAAAAAAAATTTTGGTTCAGGCACAAGCTAGTCTAATATACTAACATTTCCAAAATTTCAACCTTTAATATTGACGTATCTTAAAATTTTTATGTTCTTGGGACGTTAACTGTTTTACCTTTTTTTGCTGAGTCAGCATGTTTTTTTTTTTTTCAAGTTAAAAAAATATTTGCAAAACGTTTTAGATTTTTATATATTATGCTAGTAGTTCATAAAATGTATTTATTATGTGTAAAGTAAAAGAAAATAGAAGTAATGGCAGGGTACCACCTTAAATTAAATAAACTATGGACTCATAAGAAAGGCCATGCTAAGTCTAATTTTCTTAGTTCCCAAAATATACTAATTTAATTTGGTTCCCAAATTATGCTAATCTAACTTAATTGCCAAAATATACTTACTACTTTGAAATATTAGTTAGACACTTAAAATGGTACGGTACGAAATAGGATTAAAAGGTAAAAAATATTGTTTAAATAAAAAACTGTTACGAAACGAAGCAAGATTTCAAACAAACACCAACTTGCATTGCTGTGCAAAATAACAAATTTGGATTTTTTATTGTGACGTTTTCTTTTTAAAACAGTCAGATTTACATCACGGAAATATTGTTAACATATTTAGAATTACTCATACTTACCTAATAGTTTGAGTTTATTATTGTAAATAAGTATAAAAGTATATATTAATAAAGTAAAGAACTAGCAAAATCAAACGAGTGCAACTCTAGGCTCGATTAGACCTGTACATAAATATCTTTGACGAAATACGGAGATTTTTCAAAGCAGGACCATATTGCTTTTATTTCATAAGTTTTAGATTTATTAGAAACTTAAAAAATAATTTGAAAAAGTTAAAACTTTAAATATATAAGAATTAAATTTAAAAATACATATATTAGGCCATTGATTGACATTAATTTGTTCTAGCTGACTTAAAAAGCAAATCGCTGTTGAAGTTTTTTTTTTAACTTTTAAATAGGGGGAGGGGGGGGTGTGTGTTCAAAATTTAATATTTTTTGTTTAACCAATTATTCTAAATTCAATTTTTTAGAAAAGTTCAATAAACAATTTAGTTTATACTATTTTTCTGTGGTTGACCTTCTACTTCAATTTTTAAGATTTTAAAAATATTAAAAAACTAAAAACTAGAAATCTTTGCATAATGTAAAATAACGCAAAATAAAAACTTGTTAAAATTTATGCAATTTAAATTTGATTGGAACTTTGAATTAATATGAATGAAAGTTGCGTTTAAACATAAACAAGTCTTATATAGAGTAAAAATTTGTTTTGATTTACTTCGCCAGAAAATACTTTGCTTTTAATTTTGTTAATATTGTTTGAATTTACATACCGATTAAAATGATTTGCAACAAGAAGTAACAAGGTTGTAAGTTAATAAATCATAAACTAATAAATAAATAAGTCAAAGTTAACAAACTTCTTTAGAAACTTCTCAATATATCCAGGACTTTTTAGACGATATAGACGAATTTCATCATACAAAATTTACTCAGGGTTATTTTTGTACTTGTCTTTAATAAATTTAACAATAAATTATATTTCAGAAATTTTTATTAAAAAAATATTAACTGCTCAGTAGTCGTAGAAGCAGTTTGTATATATGCATCAAAAAAGTTGATGCATATATACAAACTTGAAATAGTTTAGTAAAATTTAGCTTTCTTAAACAGAAAATAAAAAAAGTATTACGGGTTTGGAAAAAAGATACAATAATGGAATAACTGATGTATTACATTTTTATTCAAGTTTTTTTAATTGATAAAACAATTCCAAATATCATTGAACTTAAGCGTCAGAGTGGCACTCATAATTTCGGCTGTGGAAATACCGTCAATTACAAAAATTCCTCGTGGTAATATACTTAATTATCCGAACCATTGCGAAATTAAGATTTACGTAGTTTTGAAATATTTCAGGATATTTGTCTAATTAGTAAAAAACTTAAAAATATAAAATTCAGTTGGAACAAGTGACAGAACCAATTGAGACAGAGCGGGTTAGCAAAAAAAGAACTGTAAGCTTTATATTAGGCGTCTAATAGATATTATATCTTAGCTTGTTTGAAATCACAAAGCGGCCCATTTACATGCGAATCATATGTCAATAAATATATTGAAAACATAAAGATATGTTAAATGTCAAAAAATGATTGATGAATGTGATGTTTATTTTTGTAATAATCAATAAATAGTAAATTATTGAAGAAAAGTTGCACTTTATTTAAAAACATAATTATTAATAAAAATACAAAAAAGGTCGTCATATGTCTACAGAAGATTAAGCTAATAATGTAAAATTTCGACTTAACTTGTCTTCACAACAATCAACAATTACCAACGATGACTTTTTTTTAGTTATTAAGGTGCTCCAAGAAGGACTAAGCGTCTTTTAATTAGAAAGTTTACTCATCCTTCTTTATCAATGTCGCTTATCTGGTCTGAGCCAACATTGAACCTCAGACCTTTTGATACTGAGAAAGAACTTAAATTACTGCACCATGGGTACAATGAAGTTATTTTGCTTTTTCACTAGAATTTGCTACAAATTGTTCCTTATATGAAGTAATTTCATGTATAGTGCTTAATTTTATATAACTGCACATAATGATTACGTATTTTATTGATAAAACGAAAAAAAAAATTTTTATTACGGATTTATAATGAAAAAATAATTATTAAGTAATTCGAAATCACCATAAAAAATTAATTAAGAAAAAGTGGTAAAACTACACAAAATCCATAAAAATCAATTTTGGATTCCCCAAATAATATAATTTAAAGTTATAAAATTTTGTGTTTTTAGTTTTTATGATTATTCAATCTTTTAAAATGCAATATTATATTTGAATATTATAACCTGCAACCTTATAACCTGTAATCTACAACTTATAACCTGCAACCTCATAACAGTGAGACAGAGACCCAAGCAGAGCCGGCGCGAGTAGGTGTCACGTGGGGGGGGGGGGGGGGGAGGAGGGATTCCATTACAACTTTTGCCGACTAAAAAAAAAAAAAAAAGGTTCTTGTTTTACAAAATTTTCCGACTGCCATGACGACATATGCCGACTGTCTAACCTATATCGAAAGGGTCGACATTTGCCGACTAACTAGTCTAAAAGGGTCCTATTTGCCGACTAAAATCATTGATGAGGGAGGGGGGTGACAGACCCCCCTATCGCGCCGACCAAGGACCCAAGCATAGCAAACAACATTTACAATGCATTATATGAGATAATACATAAGCTGTTGTCATGCTATTAAAATTATGATAGTACTTGGAGAAGTTGCATAAAATGATGCGTTTTTAGACGCACAGATGCGGCTTTTTATAAAGAAAAGCGCGTTTTTGAGTTCCATTATAAAAAAGCTCATCTTAGGAAACTAGTTTTTTAAAATTAGATGTGTTTAAAATAACGCAATTTTTGGTGCCAAGATTAAATAGAAAAGATTAAATTATGATCATCTGCAAAAATAAATACAAATATCATAATAAATCGGCTGCAAAAAAGCAATACACTGTTAACATGCTCAACATACGCAATAGGGTGTCCCAAAAAATAAAATGATAGCTCTAACATTTGAATGATAGCTGTAAAATTTCATTTTTCAAAAAAAAGTGCGATAGTTTTTGAAAAATTAATGTCTCTTAAAAATATTTATTTCTAGTTTATGAAGTTATTCTCTTGCGATCAGTATGAGGTTTTTTATTGTATTGCCCTATAAGTTGTTTCTGACAAAGTTCTTGGCCAAATAGTATAATCTTTTTTGTGCAGCTATTGGCACATTCAATTAGCTTCAAAAACCTTCTAAATGTGTAAAATGTCTAACAGTCATATCGCTTTATCTGCCATTTCAACTCTCTAACATAAATCTCAGCTCAGTTAGCTCCTATAAAAATGAACCACAACCTATTGAAACTCTGCTCAGTAAGCTTCATTGACCTGCTAACTACAAGTAGCTTTGGTTTCCCAATATGAAACTGCTCAGACTAATTAAAATGTGCCATTTTTATCATCTTTTTCTTTTCCTGATTCATCGCCTAGGATACATTCTTAGTCATTCTATAGGCAAGCAGGTATGAACCATTTCCCAAACACCTTAGGAATGAATTATTTTTAATATTAATATTATTTTTAAAAAGCTCTAAAATGTACATCTGCCTGGTCAACTTTCTTGGAGTGTTAAGCTTAGACTACTATTAGATTGATATCATTTGTGTTGTAATAACATTGAATGATCTGTTGAATTTTGTTCCTTACATTCATTAAATGAGAAGTAACATATGCTTTGCTCTTGCAGGTAAGATATTCACCAGGAAACCTTTGAGAACTAGCTACAACAGACTTAGTAGCTTTATATCGTAAAGAATTTTAAAATAGCCATCGGTATTTATTTAAAAGAATATATATCTGAGATTTCCCAATGCTGAGTAGCTGGTTAAAAAACTCTATAAAATCAGCTGTCCATGACAGCTGGTTGATTGAATACTTTACAGGAAATAGTAGCTTTCTGGTATTAGCGTCTTCCTCTTTTTTTTTCTTTATTTATGTCTATTCAACCAATGTTAGCCACAAAATTGAACTTTTTAATTAACTGAAGGTGACTTAAATTGGCATGTGACACGTTTTTTTTAATAAAAGAATTATACATTTATGAACATAAAAAGCATAGGCAAAGACTACTATATGACAGCTAGCGAAGGCCATTATTTCTATCAAAGTGGAAGCATTTTTAACGTTATAGTAATATTTTTTGAAAATCTCTTTCATTATGCCAAACAAATGTGGAATTGTGAATTGTAAAGGAAATTATAATGAACTTTATAAGTGTCGTGTTTTTAAATTACCTAAAGATGAAGTTGAGAAACAGAAATGGATTAGCTTCCTCCACATAAAGATTTTGTTTTAAAGCCACCTAAAATTTTTACATGTGAAAAACATTGGCAATATATTGAATCCCAACAATGGCTTAGTCTTCTACTCACAGGTTTTTGAAGCAGTTAATTTAGTTTATAATTATAATCTGTATGTTAATGATATTGTTTAAAAGGTGACAATTGTTCTTTCAGAACATGAATTTGAAGTCATTGATGATATCAAGCAAAATAAATGAATTTTATTACAAGACAATTTAAAGAATTGCGTAACAAAAGTTTTTCTATAGCTGATTATTGTTTTGCTATTGAGTCTTTCTATAACACCAGCTATGATCAATTTCGTGATTTTTTAGTGCTTCCAAGCAAACGAAAACTGCAGTCTATAATTTCTGCAACGAACATCGATCTTGTATTACAAAAAACATTAAAAAAAAGTAAAGAAAGATCATCGAAAAAATGTTTTATATGAAATGATAGAAAATGATCCTAACTTCTATGCTATGTGTAATGATGAAATGCTTACATGGTGGACCTAGTTTAATGGTTTCTGTTATACATGTTCACAAACTAACATCAATGTAACAATTCAGTTGTGTAAAAAAAGCTGCTGTTTTTGCTAAAAAAAATGGTGCCATTATTTTGGGATCTGTAACAGATAATCATAAATTCAATCAACAATACTGCAAATTATGCAAGATAAAACTTCTAATAATCTCAAAATTATTTTAGAATTATTTAAATTATCAAATCTAGGCATAAACCCAAACGAATTGAATGTTACCAATGATACTAAAAAAACCCTTGTCCAAACCACTAAAGGATTAATTACTGTCTGCAAGCATTTGCTCCCAGACAATTTTAATTACATCTTGCTTTGTGATTTACAAAATGACATAATTAAACAAGAATTTTCTGTAAACAGACAATAAACAAAGGCAAACCCTTTTATGGAATCTAGGAATGTTTTTTCTGCTTTTAACAGCAATTAATTCAAATAGCTATTACTGATGAAAGTAATGTTTTTATAATACCAAAAAAACGTATATTTTAAAATATTAAAATTTGTGTTTTTTTTATTCTATAATGTTTCTTATGTAACAACTAACTTTTCTTTACTGTTTTTTTTAATTGATGTTGAAATTATTTCATATAAATTGAGTTGCATTTATAAAAATAAGAAGTTTTTTTCTTTTATATTTCTATAACAGACGCAGATGACAATGCTACATCTACAATGCTACCACTTTCTCCATCATGGTATGCTGGCGGTTTGAGTGCCGTTTATAGTTCTTTTCCATCTTGTTATTCGACTGCTTTTACTACAACACATTATATACAAATATGTTATTCTACAAAAACAATTCCAATTTCTTCCGTGTTTGTTGTTGCTACAACAACTGCAAGTGTTTTAACAACGAAAAAAGGTTTTTAACATTTAAAAAATTCTTTTTGTATGTGAATTAACGGTTATCCCAACAACAACGGCCCTTTTTATTGTTGTTGTTTTGATGTTCTAGCTAAATGCATCTCATTTAAAGTTCTGCCTTGTGCACCTTTTTTATGTTTGTATTGTTGATTCAGTTTGAAAAAATGTGACGTCGTTTACAAAAAGATACAGAGTCTTGAAATATAGTTTTTATATAAGTTCACTTGTGATAAACTGTCTTAAGAAATACGGCTGAAAGTAAATATCAAACAATAGCAACTAAAGTAGTTTACTGGTAGGTTTGCAATCATTAACAATTAACATTATAATACTTATAGAAGGGAAAACTTAAACTGCAGTCTGGTTTTTTCCTTTGTTTTGGTTTTGTCCTGTACTTTTTAAAAATGACTGATTTTTTTTGTGTAATAAAAGATGATTTTTTTTCTGCAAGTAGTGCAGCTACTTTTTTTAATATTTATTTAGTGAATTTATAATTTTTTTTAAGAAATTATAAGCAATTGTAGAAACTTTTCTTTATTTATATTAATTTATAAGAATTTATGAGCAATTGTAGAAACTTAATATAACTATATTAGTTTACAAGAGTTTATAAGCAGTTGAAGAAACTTTTCGAGCGGCTACTTTTTCACAATGTTTGAAGCATGTTATAATTGCTTTTATTTATGGTATAATAGTTTTTTGCTGTCCCCTAAGGATGACAAAATCGTCTGAATAGTTCCTGATTAGTGTTGATCTTGTAATTTTTCTCAAAACGTTCTTAAAAAATTGAAATTGTTAACTTTTTGCTGTTTAAAATTTATCCTAGGTCGGCTTCAATCAGTCAATGCTCTCAATTGAGTATGAAACAGTTTTACAGTTGTTCACTTTGTAAACACTATTAAAACAAGGCTTTGTATTTAGTTTGTTATTATTGTTTAAAGTGTGAGCATTCCAGTTGTATTTAATCTGAATTGAAAAGGCTGTAGTTAGTAGTGAGCTTTTGATCTTGAATAGAAATTCTTTTTAATATACCAATGCGTGTTGATAAATGTCTATTAAAAAAAGTATTGTATTGTACTGTTCTTTTAAAAATATATTTAAAGTGTGTTTAGTTTTTTCCTCTTCTTATATTAAGATGAAATTCTGTAGAACAAGTTTGAGTGTTAAATAATTCGGTTCTAATATTGTTGCCTCTATGTTCTTAATCCATAAGTAAAATTGTTAAGATTAAGTTTTGATTTTTTTCTTCAATAGAAGCGTCTACTTCTATGACTGCAATGATAAGTTACAATTCAGCATGGTACGCTAGTGCTCTAACAACCGTCGATGATTCCGTTCAAATCCACTCAACTGATTCTTTAAGCAGTTCAGCATCGTTTGCTACTTTAACAACAAGCTTAAATTATATGTCGTCATATACGCCGACAACTAGGTCCACTACTGTAACATCAAAGAAAGGTTTGAATATTTATTTGTTTACTTCATGAACGTGTCTGAAATGAGGGTTTTGTGTACCCCTCATTGATATGACTTTTCGGGGTTTTGAAAAGCCTCATATCAGCGTTGCATTTTTTTTTAATTTTAATTTTTTTTTTTCCGCAAGTTTGTTTTGAAACACATCTTTAACAGCTATTACTGACAGTTTGTTAACAGCTATTACTGACGAAAGTAATGTTTTTATGAAACTAAAAAAACGTATATTTAAAGATATTAAAATTTGTGTTTTTCTTATTCTATAATGTTTCTTATGTAACAACTAACTTTTCTTTACTGTTTTTTTTAATTGATGTTGAAATTATTTCATATAAATTGAGTTGCATTTATAAAAATAAGAAGTTTTTTTCTTTTATATTTCTATAACAGATGCAGATGACAATGCTACATCTACAATGCTACCACTTTCTCCATCATGGTATGCTGGCGGTTTGAGTGCCGTTTATAGTTCTTTTCCATCTTGTTATTCGACTGCTTTTACTACAACACATTATATACAAATATGTTATTCTACAAAAACAATTCCAATTTCTTCCGTGTTTGTTGTTGCTACAACAACTGCAAGTGTTTTAACAACGAAAAAAGGTTTTTAACATTTAAAAAATTCTTTTTGTATGTGAATTAACGGTTATCCCAACAACAACGGCCCTTTTTATTGTTGTTGTTTTGATGTTCTAGCTAAATGCATCTCATTTAAAGTTCTGCCTTGTGCACCTTTTTTATGTTTGTATTGTTGATTCAGTTTGAAAAAATGTGACGTCGTTTACAAAAAGATACAGAGTCTTGAAATATAGTTTTTATATAAGTTCACTTGTGATAAACTGTCTTAAGAAATACGGCTGAAAGTAAATATCAAACAATAGCAACTAAAGTAGTTTACTGGTAGGTTTGCAATCATTAACAATTAACATTATAATACTTATAGAAGGGAAAACTTAAACTGCAGTCTGGTTTTTTCCTTTGTTTTGGTTTTGTCCTGTACTTTTTAAAAATGACTGATTTTTTTTGTGTAATAAAAGATGATTTTTTTTCTGCAAGTAGTGCAGCTACTTTTTTTAATATTTATTTAGTGAATTTATAATTTTTTTTAAGAAATTATAAGCAATTGTAGAAACTTTTCTTTATTTATATTAATTTATAAGAATTTATGAGCAATTGTAGAAACTTAATATAACTATATTAGTTTACAAGAGTTTATAAGCAGTTGAAGAAACTTTTCGAGCGGCTACTTTTTCACAATGTTTGAAGCATGTTATAATTGCTTTTATTTATGGTATAATAGTTTTTTGCTGTCCCCTAAGGATGACAAAATCGTCTGAATAGTTCCTGATTAGTGTTGATCTTGTAATTTTTCTCAAAACGTTCTTAAAAAATTGAAATTGTTAACTTTTTGCTGTTTAAAATTTATCCTAGGTCGGCTTCAATCAGTCAATGCTCTCAATTGAGTATGAAACAGTTTTACAGTTGTTCACTTTGTAAACACTATTAAAACAAGGCTTTGTATTTAGTTTGTTATTATTGTTTAAAGTGTGAGCATTCCAGTTGTATTTAATCTGAATTGAAAAGGCTGTAGTTAGTAGTGAGCTTTTGATCTTGAATAGAAATTCTTTTTAATATACCAATGCGTGTTGATAAATGTCTATTAAAAAAAGTATTGTATTGTACTGTTCTTTTAAAAATATATTTAAAGTGTGTTTAGTTTTTTCCTCTTCTTATATTAAGATGAAATTCTGTAGAACAAGTTTGAGTGTTAAATAATTCGGTTCTAATATTGTTGCCTCTATGTTCTTAATCCATAAGTAAAATTGTTAAGATTAAGTTTTGATTTTTTTCTTCAATAGAAGCGTCTACTTCTATGACTGCAATGATAAGTTACAATTCAGCATGGTACGCTAGTGCTCTAACAACCGTCGATGATTCCGTTCAAATCCACTCAACTGATTCTTTAAGCAGTTCAGCATCGTTTGCTACTTTAACAACAAGCTTAAATTATATGTCGTCATATACGCCGACAACTAGGTCCACTACTGTAACATCAAAGAAAGGTTTGAATATTTATTTGTTTACTTCATGAACGTGTCTGAAATGAGGGTTTTGTGTACCCCTCATTGATATGACTTTTCGGGGTTTTGAAAAGCCTCATATCAGCGTTGCATTTTTTTTTAATTTTAATTTTTTTTTTTCCGCAAGTTTGTTTTGAAACACATCTTTAACAGCTATTACTGACAGTTTGTTAACAGCTATTACTGACGAAAGTAATGTTTTTATGAAACTAAAAAAACGTATATTTAAAGATATTAAAATTTGTGTTTTTCTTATTCTATAATGTTTCTTATGTAACAACTAACTTTTCTTTACTGTTTTTTTTAATTGATGTTGAAATTATTTCATATAAATTGAGTTGCATTTATAAAAATAAGAAGTTTTTTTCTTTTATATTTCTATAACAGACGCAGATGACAATGCTACATCTACAATGCTACCACTTTCTCCATCATGGTATGCTGGTGGTTTGAGTGCCGTTTATAGTTCTTTTCCATCTTGTTATTCGACTGCTTTTACTACAACACATTATATACAAATATGTTATTCTACAAAAACAATTCCAATTTCTTCCGTGTTTGTTGTTGCTACAACAACTGCAAGTGTTTTAACAACGAAAAAAGGTTTTTAACATTTAAAAAAATCTTTTTGTATGTGAATTAACGGTTATCCCAACAACAACGGCCCTTTTTATTGTTGTTGTTTTGATGTTCTAGCTAAATGCATCTCATTTAAAGTTCTGCCTTGTGCACCTTTTTTATGTTTGTATTGTTGATTCAGTTTGAAAAAATGTGACGTCGTTTACAAAAAGATACAGAGTCTTGAAATATAGTTTTTATATAAGTTCACTTGTGATAAACTGTCTTAAGAAATATGGCTGAAAGTAAATATCAAACAATAGCAACTAAAGTAGTTTACTGGTAGGTTTGCAATCATTAACAATTAACATTATAATACTTATAGAAGGGAAAACTTAAACTGCAGTCTGGTTTTTTCCTTTGTTTTGGTTTTGTCCTGTACTTTTTAAAAATGACTGATTTTTTTTGTGTAATAAAAGATGATTTTTTTTCTGCAAGTAGTGCAGCTACTTTTTTTAATATTTATTTAGTGAATTTATAATTTTTTTTAAGAAATTATAAGCAATTGTAGAAACTTTTCTTTATTTATATTAATTTATAAGAATTTATGAGCAATTGTAGAAACTTAATATAACTATATTAGTTTACAAGAGTTTATAAGCAGTTGAAGAAACTTTTCGAGCGGCTACTTTTTCACAATGTTTGAAGCATGTTATAATTGCTTTTATTTATGGTATAATAGTTTTTTGCTGTCCCCTAAGGATGACAAAATCGTCTGAATAGTTCCTGATTAGTGTTGATCTTGTAATTTTTCTCAAAGCGTTCTTAAAAAATTGAAATTGTTAACTTTTTGCTGTTTAAAATTTATCCTAGGTCGGCTTCAATCAGTCAATGCTCTCAATTGAGTATGAAACAGTTTTACAGTTGTTCACTTTGTAAACACTATTAAAACAAGGCTTTGTATTTAGTTTGTTATTATTGTTTAAAGTGTGAGCATTCCAGTTGTATTTAATCTGAATTGAAAAGGCTGTAGTTAGTAGTGAGCTTTTGATCTTGAATAGAAATTCTTTTTAATATACCAATGCGTGTTGATAAATGTCTATTAAAAAAAGTATTGTATTGTACTGTTCTTTTAAAAATATATTTAAAGTGTGTTTAGTTTTTTCCTCTTCTTATATTAAGATGAAATTCTGTAGAACAAGTTTGAGTGTTAAATAATTCGGTTCTAATATTGTTGCCTCTATGTTCTTAATCCATAAGTAAAATTGTTAAGATTAAGTTTTGATTTTTTTCTTCAATAGAAGCGTCTACTTCTATGACTGCAATGATAAGTTACAATTCAGCATGGTACGCTAGTGCTCTAACAACCGTCGATGATTCCGTTCAAATCCACTCAACTGATTCTTTAAGCAGTTCAGCATCGTTTGCTACTTTAACAACAAGCTTAAATTATATGTCGTCATATACGCCGACAACTAGGTCCACTACTGTAACATCAAAGAAAGGTTTGAATATTTATTTGTTTACTTCATGAACGTGTCTGAAATGAGGGTTTTGTGTACCCCTCATTGATATGACTTTTCGGGGTTTTGAAAAGCCTCATATCAGCGTTGCATTTTTTTTTAATTTTAATTTTTTTTTTTCCGCAAGTTTGTTTTGAAACACATCTTTAACAGCTATTACTGACAGTTTGTTAACAGCTATTACTGACGAAAGTAATGTTTTTATGAAACTAAAAAAACGTATATTTAAAGATATTAAAATTTGTGTTTTTCTTATTCTATAATGTTTCTTATGTAACAACTAACTTTTCTTTACTGTTTTTTTTAATTGATGTTGAAATTATTTCATATAAATTGAGTTGCATTTATAAAAATAAGAAGTTTTTTTCTTTTATATTTCTATAACAGACGCAGATGACAATGCTACATCTACAATGCTACCACTTTCTCCATCATGGTATGCTGGCGGTTTGAGTGCCGTTTATAGTTCTTTTCCATCTTGTTATTCGACTGCTTTTACTACAACACATTATATACAAATATGTTATTCTACAAAAACAATTCCAATTTCTTCCGTGTTTGTTGTTGCTACAACAACTGCAAGTGTTTTAACAACGAAAAAAGGTTTTTAACATTTAAAAAATTCTTTTTGTATGTGAATTAACGGTTATCCCAACAACAACGGCCCTTTTTATTGTTGTTGTTTTGATGTTCTAGCTAAATGCATCTCATTTAAAGTTCTGCCTTGTGCACCTTTTTTATGTTTGTATTGTTGATTCAGTTTGAAAAAATGTGACGTCGTTTACAAAAAGATACAGAGTCTTGAAATATAGTTTTTATATAAGTTCACTTGTGATAAACTGTCTTAAGAAATACGGCTGAAAGTAAATATCAAACAATAGCAACTAAAGTAGTTTACTGGTAGGTTTGCAATCATTAACAATTAACATTATAATACTTATAGAAGGGAAAACTTAAACTGCAGTCTGGTTTTTTCCTTTGTTTTGGTTTTGTCCTGTACTTTTTAAAAATGACTGATTTTTTTTGTGTAATAAAAGATGATTTTTTTTCTGCAAGTAGTGCAGCTACTTTTTTTAATATTTATTTAGTGAATTTATAATTTTTTTTAAGAAATTATAAGCAATTGTAGAAACTTTTCTTTATTTATATTAATTTATAAGAATTTATGAGCAATTGTAGAAACTTAATATAACTATATTAGTTTACAAGAGTTTATAAGCAGTTGAAGAAACTTTTCGAGCGGCTACTTTTTCACAATGTTTGAAGCATGTTATAATTGCTTTTATTTATGGTATAATAGTTTTTTGCTGTCCCCTAAGGATGACAAAATCGTCTGAATAGTTCCTGATTAGTGTTGATCTTGTAATTTTTCTCAAAACGTTCTTAAAAAATTGAAATTGTTAACTTTTTGCTGTTTAAAATTTATCCTAGGTCGGCTTCAATCAGTCAATGCTCTCAATTGAGTATGAAACAGTTTTACAGTTGTTCACTTTGTAAACACTATTAAAACAAGGCTTTGTATTTAGTTTGTTATTATTGTTTAAAGTGTGAGCATTCCAGTTGTATTTAATCTGAATTAAAAAGGCTGTAGTTAGTAGTGAGCTTTTGATCTTGAATAGAAATTCTTTTTAATATACCAATGCGTGTTGATAAATGTCTATTAAAAAAAGTATTGTATTGTACTGTTCTTTTAAAAATATATTTAAAGTGTGTTTAGTTTTTTCCTCTTCTTATATTAAGATGAAATTCTGTAGAACAAGTTTGAGTGTTAAATAATTCGGTTCTAATATTGTTGCCTCTATGTTCTTAATCCATAAGTAAAATTGTTAAGATTAAGTTTTGATTTTTTTCTTCAATAGAAGCGTCTACTTCTATGACTGCAATGATAAGTTACAATTCAGCATGGTACGCTAGTGCTCTAACAACCGTCGATGATTCCGTTCAAATCCACTCAACTGATTCTTTAAGCAGTTCAGCATCGTTTGCTACTTTAACAACAAGCTTAAATTATATGTCGTCATATACGCCGACAACTAGGTCCACTACTGTAACATCAAAGAAAGGTTTGAATATTTATTTGTTTACTTCATGAACGTGTCTGAAATGAGGGTTTTGTGTACCCCTCATTGATATGACTTTTCGGGGTTTTGAAAAGCCTCATATCAGCGTTGCATTTTTTTTTAATTTTAATTTTTTTTTTTCCGCAAGTTTGTTTTGAAACACATCTTTAACAGCTATTACTGACAGTTTGTTAACAGCTATTACTGACGAAAGTAATGTTTTTATGAAACTAAAAAAACGTATATTTAAAGATATTAAAATTTGTGTTTTTCTTATTCTATAATGTTTCTTATGTAACAACTAACTTTTCTTTACTGTTTTTTTTAATTGATGTTGAAATTATTTCATATAAATTGAGTTGCATTTATAAAAATAAGAAGTTTTTTTCTTTTATATTTCTATAACAGACGCAGATGACAATGCTACATCTACAATGCTACCACTTTCTCCATCATGGTATGCTGGCGGTTTGAGTGCCGTTTATAGTTCTTTTCCATCTTGTTATTCGACTGCTTTTACTACAACACATTATATACAAATATGTTATTCTACAAAAACAATTCCAATTTCTTCCGTGTTTGTTGTTGCTACAACAACTGCAAGTGTTTTAACAACGAAAAAAGGTTTTTAACATTTAAAAAATTCTTTTTGTATGTGAATTAACGGTTATCCCAACAACAACGGCCCTTTTTATTGTTGTTGTTTTGATGTTCTAGCTAAATGCATCTCATTTAAAGTTCTGCCTTGTGCACCTTTTTTATGTTTGTATTGTTGATTCAGTTTGAAAAAATGTGACGTCGTTTACAAAAAGATACAGAGTCTTGAAATATAGTTTTTATATAAGTTCACTTGTGATAAACTGTCTTAAGAAATACGGCTGAAAGTAAATATCAAACAATAGCAACTAAAGTAGTTTACTGGTAGGTTTGCAATCATTAACAATTAACATTATAATACTTATAGAAGGGAAAACTTAAACTGCAGTCTGGTTTTTTCCTTTGTTTTGGTTTTGTCCTGTACTTTTTAAAAATGACTGATTTTTTTTGTGTAATAAAAGATGATTTTTTTTCTGCAAGTAGTGCAGCTACTTTTTTTAATATTTATTTAGTGAATTTATAATTTTTTTTAAGAAATTATAAGCAATTGTAGAAACTTTTCTTTATTTATATTAATTTATAAGAATTTATGAGCAATTGTAGAAACTTAATATAACTATATTAGTTTACAAGAGTTTATAAGCAGTTGAAGAAACTTTTCGAGCGGCTACTTTTTCACAATGTTTGAAGCATGTTATAATTGCTTTTATTTATGGTATAATAGTTTTTTGCTGTCCCCTAAGGATGACAAAATCGTCTGAATAGTTCCTGATTAGTGTTGATCTTGTAATTTTTCTCAAAGCGTTCTTAAAAAATTGAAATTGTTAACTTTTTGCTGTTTAAAATTTATCCTAGGTCGGCTTCAATCAGTCAATGCTCTCAATTGAGTATGAAACAGTTTTACAGTTGTTCACTTTGTAAACACTATTAAAACAAGGCTTTGTATTTAGTTTGGCATTATTGTTTAAAGTGTGAGCATTCCAGTTGTATTTAATCTGAATTGAAAAGGCTGTAGTTAGTAGTGAGCTTTTGATCTTGAATAGAAATTCTTTTTAATATACCAATGCGTGTTGATAAATGTCTATTAAAAAAAGTATTGTATTGTACTGTTCTTTTAAAAATATATTTAAAGTGTGTTTAGTTTTTTCCTCTTCTTATATTAAGATGAAATTCTGTAGAACAAGTTTGAGTGTTAAATAATTCGGTTCTAATATTGTTGCCTCTATGTTCTTAATCCATAAGTAAAATTGTTAAGATTAAGTTTTGATTTTTTTCTTCAATAGAAGCGTCTACTTCTATGACTGCAATGATAAGTTACAATTCAGCATGGTACGCTAGTGCTCTAACAACCGTCGATGATTCCGTTCAAATCCACTCAACTGATTCTTTAAGCAGTTCAGCATCGTTTGCTACTTTAACAACAAGCTTAAATTATATGTCGTCATATACGCCGACAACTAGGTCCACTACTGTAACATCAAAGAAAGGTTTGAATATTTATTTGTTTACTTCATGAACGTGTCTGAAATGAGGGTTTTGTGTACCCCTCATTGATATGACTTTTCGGGGTTTTGAAAAGCCTCATATCAGCGTTGCATTTTTTTTTAATTTTAATTTTTTTTTTTCCGCAAGTTTGTTTTGAAACACATCTTTAACAGCTATTACTGACAGTTTGTTAACAGCTATTACTGACGAAAGTAATGTTTTTATGAAACTAAAAAAACGTATATTTAAAGATATTAAAATTTGTGTTTTTCTTATTCTATAATGTTTCTTATGTAACAACTAACTTTTCTTTACTGTTTTTTTTTAATTGATGTTGAAATTATTTCATATAAATTGAGTTGCATTTATAAAAATAAGAAGTTTTTTTCTTTTATATTTCTATAACAGACGCAGATGACAATGCTACATCTACAATGCTACCACTTTCTCCATCATGGTATGCTGGCGGTTTGAGTGCCGTTTATAGTTCTTTTCCATCTTGTTATTCGACTGCTTTTACTACAACACATTATATACAAATATGTTATTCTACAAAAACAATTCCAATTTCTTCCGTGTTTGTTGTTGCTACAACAACTGCAAGTGTTTTAACAACGAAAAAAGGTTTTTAACATTTAAAAAATTCTTTTTGTATGTGAATTAACGGTTATCCCAACAACAACGGCCCTTTTTATTGTTGTTGTTTTGATGTTCTAGCTAAATGCATCTCATTTAAAGTTCTGCCTTGTGCACCTTTTTTATGTTTGTATTGTTGATTCAGTTTGAAAAAATGTGACGTCGTTTACAAAAAGATACAGAGTCTTGAAATATAGTTTTTATATAAGTTCACTTGTGATAAACTGTCTTAAGAAATATGGCTGAAAGTAAATATCAAACAATAGCAACTAAAGTAGTTTACTGGTAGGTTTGCAATCATTAACAATTAACATTATAATACTTATAGAAGGGAAAACTTAAACTGCAGTCTGGTTTTTTCCTTTGTTTTGGTTTTGTCCTGTACTTTTTAAAAATGACTGATTTTTTTTGTGTAATAAAAGATGATTTTTTTTCTGCAAGTAGTGCAGCTACTTTTTTTAATATTTATTTAGTGAATTTATAATTTTTTTTAAGAAATTATAAGCAATTGTAGAAACTTTTCTTTATTTATATTAATTTATAAGAATTTATGAGCAATTGTAGAAACTTAATATAACTATATTAGTTTACAAGAGTTTATAAGCAGTTGAAGAAACTTTTCGAGCGGCTACTTTTTCACAATGTTTGAAGCATGTTATAATTGCTTTTATTTATGGTATAATAGTTTTTTGCTGTCCCCTAAGGATGACAAAATCGTCTGAATAGTTCCTGATTAGTGTTGATCTTGTAATTTTTCTCAAAGCGTTCTTAAAAAATTGAAATTGTTAACTTTTTGCTGTTTAAAATTTATCCTAGGTCGGCTTCAATCAGTCAATGCTCTCAATTGAGTATGAAACAGTTTTACAGTTGTTCACTTTGTAAACACTATTAAAACAAGGCTTTGTATTTAGTTTGTTATTATTGTTTAAAGTGTGAGCATTCCAGTTGTATTTAATCTGAATTGAAAAGGCTGTAGTTAGTAGTGAGCTTTTGATCTTGAATAGAAATTCTTTTTAATATACCAATGCGTGTTGATAAATGTCTATTAAAAAAAGTATTGTATTGTACTGTTCTTTTAAAAATATATTTAAAGTGTGTTTAGTTTTTTCCTCTTCTTATATTAAGATGAAATTCTGTAGAACAAGTTTGAGTGTTAAATAATTCGGTTCTAATATTGTTGCCTCTATGTTCTTAATCCATAAGTAAAATTGTTAAGATTAAGTTTTGATTTTTTTCTTCAATAGAAGCGTCTACTTCTATGACTGCAATGATAAGTTACAATTCAGCATGGTACGCTAGTGCTCTAACAACCGTCGATGATTCCGTTCAAATCCACTCAACTGATTCTTTAAGCAGTTCAGCATCGTTTGCTACTTTAACAACAAGCTTAAATTATATGTCGTCATATACGCCGACAACTAGGTCCACTACTGTAACATCAAAGAAAGGTTTGAATATTTATTTGTTTACTTCATGAACGTGTCTGAAATGAGGGTTTTGTGTACCCCTCATTGATATGACTTTTCGGGGTTTTGAAAAGCCTCATATCAGCGTTGCATTTTTTTTTAATTTTAATTTTTTTTTTTCCGCAAGTTTGTTTTGAAACACATCTTTAACAGCTATTACTGACAGTTTGTTAACAGCTATTACTGACGAAAGTAATGTTTTTATGAAACTAAAAAAACGTATATTTAAAGATATTAAAATTTGTGTTTTTCTTATTCTATAATGTTTCTTATGTAACAACTAACTTTTCTTTACTGTTTTTTTTTAATTGATGTTGAAATTATTTCATATAAATTGAGTTGCATTTATAAAAATAAGAAGTTTTTTTCTTTTATATTTCTATAACAGACGCAGATGACAATGCTACATCTACAATGCTACCACTTTCTCCATCATGGTATGCTGGCGGTTTGAGTGCCGTTTATAGTTCTTTTCCATCTTGTTATTCGACTGCTTTTACTACAACACATTATATACAAATATGTTATTCTACAAAAACAATTCCAATTTCTTCCGTGTTTGTTGTTGCTACAACAACTGCAAGTGTTTTAACAACGAAAAAAGGTTTTTAACATTTAAAAAATTCTTTTTGTATGTGAATTAACGGTTATCCCAACAACAACGGCCCTTTTTATTGTTGTTGTTTTGATGTTCTAGCTAAATGCATCTCATTTAAAGTTCTGCCTTGTGCACCTTTTTTATGTTTGTATTGTTGATTCAGTTTGAAAAAATGTGACGTCGTTTACAAAAAGATACAGAGTCTTGAAATATAGTTTTTATATAAGTTCACTTGTGATAAACTGTCTTAAGAAATACGGCTGAAAGTAAATATCAAACAATAGCAACTAAAGTAGTTTACTGGTAGGTTTGCAATCATTAACAATTAACATTATAATACTTATAGAAGGGAAAACTTAAACTGCAGTCTGGTTTTTTCCTTTGTTTTGGTTTTGTCCTGTACTTTTTAAAAATGACTGATTTTTTTTGTGTAATAAAAGATGATTTTTTTTCTGCAAGTAGTGCAGCTACTTTTTTTAATATTTATTTAGTGAATTTATAATTTTTTTTAAGAAATTATAAGCAATTGTAGAAACTTTTCTTTATTTATATTAATTTATAAGAATTTATGAGCAATTGTAGAAACTTAATATAACTATATTAGTTTACAAGAGTTTATAAGCAGTTGAAGAAACTTTTCGAGCGGCTACTTTTTCACAATGTTTGAAGCATGTTATAATTGCTTTTATTTATGGTATAATAGTTTTTTGCTGTCCCCTAAGGATGACAAAATCGTCTGAATAGTTCCTGATTAGTGTTGATCTTGTAATTTTTCTCAAAGCGTTCTTAAAAAATTGAAATTGTTAACTTTTTGCTGTTTAAAATTTATCCTAGGTCGGCTTCAATCAGTCAATGCTCTCAATTGAGTATGAAACAGTTTTACAGTTGTTCACTTTGTAAACACTATTAAAACAAGGCTTTGTATTTAGTTTGGCATTATTGTTTAAAGTGTGAGCATTCCAGTTGTATTTAATCTGAATTGAAAAGGCTGTAGTTAGTAGTGAGCTTTTGATCTTGAATAGAAATTCTTTTTAATATACCAATGCGTGTTGATAAATGTCTATTAAAAAAAGTATTGTATTGTACTGTTCTTTTAAAAATATATTTAAAGTGTGTTTAGTTTTTTCCTCTTCTTATATTAAGATGAAATTCTGTAGAACAAGTTTGAGTGTTAAATAATTCGGTTCTAATATTGTTGCCTCTATGTTCTTAATCCATAAGTAAAATTGTTAAGATTAAGTTTTGATTTTTTTCTTCAATAGAAGCGTCTACTTCTATGACTGCAATGATAAGTTACAATTCAGCATGGTACGCTAGTGCTCTAACAACCGTCGATGATTCCGTTCAAATCCACTCAACTGATTCTTTAAGCAGTTCAGCATCGTTTGCTACTTTAACAACAAGCTTAAATTATATGTCGTCATATACGCCGACAACTAGGTCCACTACTGTAACATCAAAGAAAGGTTTGAATATTTATTTGTTTACTTCATGAACGTGTCTGAAATGAGGGTTTTGTGTACCCCTCATTGATATGACTTTTCGGGGTTTTGAAAAGCCTCATATCAGCGTTGCATTTTTTTTTAATTTTAATTTTTTTTTTTCCGCAAGTTTGTTTTGAAACACATCTTTAACAGCTATTACTGACAGTTTGTTAACAGCTATTACTGACGAAAGTAATGTTTTTATGAAACTAAAAAAACGTATATTTAAAGATATTAAAATTTGTGTTTTTCTTATTCTATAATGTTTCTTATGTAACAACTAACTTTTCTTTACTGTTTTTTTTTAATTGATGTTGAAATTATTTCATATAAATTGAGTTGCATTTATAAAAATAAGAAGTTTTTTTCTTTTATATTTCTATAACAGACGCAGATGACAATGCTACATCTACAATGCTACCACTTTCTCCATCATGGTATGCTGGCGGTTTGAGTGCCGTTTATAGTTCTTTTCCATCTTGTTATTCGACTGCTTTTACTACAACACATTATATACAAATATGTTATTCTACAAAAACAATTCCAATTTCTTCCGTGTTTGTTGTTGCTACAACAACTGCAAGTGTTTTAACAACGAAAAAAGGTTTTTAACATTTAAAAAATTCTTTTTGTATGTGAATTAACGGTTATCCCAACAACAACGGCCCTTTTTATTGTTGTTGTTTTGATGTTCTAGCTAAATGCATCTCATTTAAAGTTCTGCCTTGTGCACCTTTTTTATGTTTGTATTGTTGATTCAGTTTGAAAAAATGTGACGTCGTTTACAAAAAGATACAGAGTCTTGAAATATAGTTTTTATATAAGTTCACTTGTGATAAACTGTCTTAAGAAATACGGCTGAAAGTAAATATCAAACAATAGCAACTAAAGTAGTTTACTGGTAGGTTTGCAATCATTAACAATTAACATTATAATACTTATAGAAGGGAAAACTTAAACTGCAGTCTGGTTTTTTCCTTTGTTTTGGTTTTGTCCTGTACTTTTTAAAAATGACTGATTTTTTTTGTGTAATAAAAGATGATTTTTTTTCTGCAAGTAGTGCAGCTACTTTTTTTAATATTTATTTAGTGAATTTATAATTTTTTTTAAGAAATTATAAGCAATTGTAGAAACTTTTCTTTATTTATATTAATTTATAAGAATTTATGAGCAATTGTAGAAACTTAATATAACTATATTAGTTTACAAGAGTTTATAAGCAGTTGAAGAAACTTTTCGAGCGGCTACTTTTTCACAATGTTTGAAGCATGTTATAATTGCTTTTATTTATGGTATAATAGTTTTTTGCTGTCCCCTAAGGATGACAAAATCGTCTGAATAGTTCCTGATTAGTGTTGATCTTGTAATTTTTCTCAAAGCGTTCTTAAAAAATTGAAATTGTTAACTTTTTGCTGTTTAAAATTTATCCTAGGTCGGCTTCAATCAGTCAATGCTCTCAATTGAGTATGAAACAGTTTTACAGTTGTTCACTTTGTAAACACTATTAAAACAAGGCTTTGTATTTAGTTTGGCATTATTGTTTAAAGTGTGAGCATTCCAGTTGTATTTAATCTGAATTGAAAAGGCTGTAGTTAGTAGTGAGCTTTTGATCTTGAATAGAAATTCTTTTTAATATACCAATGCGTGTTGATAAATGTCTATTAAAAAAAGTATTGTATTGTACTGTTCTTTTAAAAATATATTTAAAGTGTGTTTAGTTTTTTCCTCTTCTTATATTAAGATGAAATTCTGTAGAACAAGTTTGAGTGTTAAATAATTCGGTTCTAATATTGTTGCCTCTATGTTCTTAATCCATAAGTAAAATTGTTAAGATTAAGTTTTGATTTTTTTCTTCAATAGAAGCGTCTACTTCTATGACTGCAATGATAAGTTACAATTCAGCATGGTACGCTAGTGCTCTAACAACCGTCGATGATTCCGTTCAAATCCACTCAACTGATTCTTTAAGCAGTTCAGCATCGTTTGCTACTTTAACAACAAGCTTAAATTATATGTCGTCATATACGCCGACAACTAGGTCCACTACTGTAACATCAAAGAAAGGTTTGAATATTTATTTGTTTACTTCATGAACGTGTCTGAAATAATGGTTTTGTGTACCCCTCATTGATATGACTTTTCGGGGTTTTGAAAAGCCTCATATCAGCGTTGCATTTTTTTTTAATTTTAATTTTTTTTTTTCCGCAAGTTTGTTTTGAAACACATCTTTAACAGCTATTACTGACAGTTTGTTAACAGCTATTACTGACGAAAGTAATGTTTTTATGAAACTAAAAAAACGTATATTTAAAGATATTAAAATTTGTGTTTTTCTTATTCTATAATGTTTCTTATGTAACAACTAACTTTTCTTTACTGTTTTTTTTTAATTGATGTTGAAATTATTTCATATAAATTGAGTTGCATTTATAAAAATAAGAAGTTTTTTTCTTTTATATTTCTATAACAGACGCAGATGACAATGCTACATCTACAATGCTACCACTTTCTCCATCATGGTATGCTGGCGGTTTGAGTGCCGTTTATAGTTCTTTTCCATCTTGTTATTCGACTGCTTTTACTACAACACATTATATACAAATATGTTATTCTACAAAAACAATTCCAATTTCTTCCGTGTTTGTTGTTGCTACAACAACTGCAAGTGTTTTAACAACGAAAAAAGGTTTTTAACATTTAAAAAATTCTTTTTGTATGTGAATTAACGGTTATCCCAACAACAACGGCCCTTTTTATTGTTGTTGTTTTGATGTTCTAGCTAAATGCATCTCATTTAAAGTTCTGCCTTGTGCACCTTTTTTATGTTTGTATTGTTGATTCAGTTTGAAAAAATGTGACGTCGTTTACAAAAAGATACAGAGTCTTGAAATATAGTTTTTATATAAGTTCACTTGTGATAAACTGTCTTAAGAAATACGGCTGAAAGTAAATATCAAACAATAGCAACTAAAGTAGTTTACTGGTAGGTTTGCAATCATTAACAATTAACATTATAATACTTATAGAAGGGAAAACTTAAACTGCAGTCTGGTTTTTTCCTTTGTTTTGGTTTTGTCCTGTACTTTTTAAAAATGACTGATTTTTTTTGTGTAATAAAAGATGATTTTTTTTCTGCAAGTAGTGCAGCTACTTTTTTTAATATTTATTTAGTGAATTTATAATTTTTTTTAAGAAATTATAAGCAATTGTAGAAACTTTTCTTTATTTATATTAATTTATAAGAATTTATGAGCAATTGTAGAAACTTAATATAACTATATTAGTTTACAAGAGTTTATAAGCAGTTGAAGAAACTTTTCGAGCGGCTACTTTTTCACAATGTTTGAAGCATGTTATAATTGCTTTTATTTATGGTATAATAGTTTTTTGCTGTCCCCTAAGGATGACAAAATCGTCTGAATAGTTCCTGATTAGTGTTGATCTTGTAATTTTTCTCAAAGCGTTCTTAAAAAATTGAAATTGTTAACTTTTTGCTGTTTAAAATTTATCCTAGGTCGGCTTCAATCAGTCAATGCTCTCAATTGAGTATGAAACAGTTTTACAGTTGTTCACTTTGTAAACACTATTAAAACAAGGCTT